TATTTTACAAGATAGGTTAATAAATTTTACTTTAGATCATTTAGCAGTTATTAGATTTTTTAATACTTCCAATATAGGTTCTTATCTGGTAAATAACTGTCATAGATTTGGTAGTAGTTTTCAGTATCTTAATGAATTTGTTTGTTATAGTTCCAAGTATAATCCTGTTAGTAATGAATTTATTAATAAATTAGCAAATATTTGCAAGTGTATTCAATTATTAGGAATATATGGCACATATAAAAATAAACTTGATGATAGTCTGATTCAACTAATTAAAGCACAAAATCAAATAAAACAATTAGCCATTTGTTTAAACATAAATCGTGCTTTATCAGATAACTTCATAAAAGCAATTCTTGCACATTCACAATCAATAACTCATTATTCAAGTAATGGGCGCAACAATATTGATCATATATTATTACCAACACTTAAAAACTTGAAGTTTTTACGATTAAGATTAAGGAATACTTCTTCTTATAGTGGTGATGAGTTAAAATGGTTGAAAAATATTTTACAGCCAAATATTGAATTTATGATATTACATATTCATGGGCAAGGATTTCTATCAGATTGTCTGATTTTATTAACACTAATGGAAAAACTCTTAGATATCTGAGTGTTTATGGTAGTGAAAATGATAATAAATTTTTGGGAAAGTTATTTCAATCAATTGCACAACAGTGTAAAAATCTAGTAAACTTATCAATAATTTATAATGATAAAGTAAACCAGGAATTAACAGGAATATTCAATAATTGTATTAAATTAGAAAGCATTAGTTTTTTCAAAACTGATTCTAATGATATAGATGGTGATAAAATACTTTCAATGCTAAAGCAAACATTACCAAAAAAATTAACATTAATAATAATTCCTTGTAAGTTTTCTACTATTAATGTCGATTTTCTTGATAATCTAATGAAGAATTGGAAAGGATCTAAATCTTTTACAGTAAGGTTCAATTATAATCAAAGATCAGTGAATGTAAGAATTACTTTTCATAACAATAAAACAATATTGTAATGTTTCTTTTTCAAGCAGGTACTTTAATTATTGTAAAAATACAAGTTATCTTTATTAACTTAAAATAATGTCCTTTATATAATAAAATTACATACAGTGTGTAACGAAAAAAATTGCCTTCACGAAAACTGAAATAAATTTGAAATAAATAAGGAAATACGTTGTAAA